CACCTTGGATAATCTCCAGAAATCAATTTAAAGGGTAATAAAATAATTGCTGATGTAATATTTTCCCTGTAACTATTACAAAAACACACAAAAGTATAAATAAGTATTTATATTTGTGTACAAGCTATTTAGATCTTCAAAAATCCTGTGTTTTTAGGGTTATTAACAAAGTTCGTGTACTCAGACCAGTAATATTTGAGGTCACAAGTTTTTGCCATGGATATTTTGTGGATCAGAAGATTAAAAGTTTGGGAACCAGTGCTTTAGAGTACATGATGTGCACCAAAAGAAATGTGACGTATTTAAAAATTAACAGCTATAAAATGCCATATTTGCCTTAAAGGTGTTAAAATATACTCCATTAAAGCATCAAATCTAAGATTGATTTTAAATATTTAGATATACTAAATTTATTATTAAAATTTAATTCTATGGTAAATCCAAATATGATTTAACATTTCATATTACGATTTAACACTGTATAAAAACGCTAAGCTTTTACTGAAGCATTGATTTGTTGGATAAATATTTAGGAGATAAATATATTGGAAGAATTTTAATGAATTCTGGTAAACTGTCTGGTGTCCTAGAACAAACAGCAATAATAAAGTTGGGGAGTTTTCTTCTGTGGAGTTCAGGAAGATCAACATGACTTTAGATGTTGTTCTCAAGCCTGCATAGTTCAGCTAAATATAATTTAACTAATCTCACCATCACTTGAGCAGAAAAACTCTCCACATAAACAGGCTGCTGACATAAATATATTTTAATTTTTTATGGTCTGGTTTGTAGAGCTGAGCAGACAGAACACACAGATGTATTTAGGCTGATAAACACAAAGCCTGACCTTTGGCCTCACAGTCCCGGAAGGAGATCGAACCCTCATACTTAGTCATGAGGCTTCCCCCGCATGAGAAGCACAGAACCCGACCTGGTTCYGTCTGATATGAGCCAAGAGGACAGGGTTTACATGGCCGAAACCCATCAGTAGAAAACTGGCCTGCTGGACATTGACCTGGGAGACAGACAGACAAAAAAAAAAAAAAAGAAGTTAAAACAGAAAGAGAGAGCATGCACTTCTTGATGTTTCTGTTTTTTCTGGTGCTCTCTAATGATGGATTAAAACCTAAATGTAAGAAGGCTGGTTATACTAAGGAGGTTCTACAGAGCTGGAGTGTGCAAAAACCAKGTGACCGCGTGTGATCGGCTGGTGAAGCTAACGGCTAACGCTAAACGGGCAAGAGTCTGGATTTCCCATTACTGTACATGTTGACAACAGAGCAGAAAAAAAGGACTGACCATGTAGAAATCATTAAAACTATTAATAATATTATTAATCCAATTATTATTAATATTTTACAGTTTATATAATCTAATGTTTTAAATAATGCCAGAAAAGCTGTTTGAGTTATGGATTTATTAACAGAAGATAAACAGGAAAACGTCTCATTTCACAACACAAGTCAGCAGATTTGATCTTATTTAGCTCAATGTGATCTGAGCAGAACATAATATAACAGTTTAAAATTAAAATAATCTGAACTGAACAGTTATTTAATTAGCC